CAGTTTGCTAGTAGTTTCACGATCTACGGGTGCGTGATGATAGCGCCATCTATCGATTCCGGACTCAAATATTTGTGCATGAGGAAGCCAATGATAACAACAGACATTTGGTCGATTTGAGATAAGGAACAATTTGAATTTCAAACTGCCACTTCTCTTTTGATCTGATAAGCTTGTTGAATGTTTGCATCTTTGTCAAGTCCTGATTCAGATTTCACCACAGAGTCCACGCCTACGCTTCACTATCATATATTGGTCTAAAGCGTGCACGGCGATCTATTAAATTCCCCACACTATGCACTTCGCTCCCGGCGGATAGGTTGATAGTTGATAGTAGGAAATTGTAACCTCAGTTAAAAAAGGCATAAGGTGCATTTTGTACTTTTTAGTTTTATGACGTTATGTTTGGAGTATCAGTTTGAGATAAAAACCAGATTCAAAACTAAATAAACGTCTATGTAACAAAATTCACGTTACTATAAAAAATCTGTGCCGACATTTTTCGTTGGTATTTTAAACAGATGAGTTATGGAACATAAACTAGGAAGCCTTAAAGTCACATGTCCCTTTTTTCAACTGCTTGCTTGGAGCAGTAGTATGAATTTTTTTGTCAAAAAATGCATTTTTTTGTCAAAAAATGCATTTTTTTTAAAATTTTTTCGTGATTAACAAATATTAGTACAGATCTGAAACTGTATGTCAAAATTCCACTTTTATAGCAGAATTGAGCTGTTGATTACTTTTAATATGATGGCTTGAAACCACATTTTGCCGCAAATTGAGCTTTCAAGAAAAGCAAAGGTTTTTTTTAAGAGGGAAAGTTATAAGAAAAAAGTAATCACCTGCTCAATTCTTTCATAAAAGTGGAATATCCACATAATATTATACAGGGTGTTTCAGTTTATTGTTGCATAACTTTAAGATTCTATAGAACTTTTAAAATTAATGCATAAAGTCTATATAAACATGGGTCGAAAAATGCGTGGCTTCCGAAATACAGGGTGTTTAAATTTACTTTCTAAAATAGTTTTTTTTAAATATTTCGAACAATATTTGATGTATAACAGTGAAAATTGGTATACAAGGGTTTTTTGCTACGACAAAATGAACCATGGGCATAGTTTTACTGTAGCCGCTAGAGGGCGCTCTCTACTGTACCTGTAGTGTATTAAAATGACCGAAAAATTTTTCTTAGTGCAATTTTTTGCTTTTTGAATAAAAAAGCTGATTCTTCGCCCTTTTCAACATAAAAAAGCTCTCTTGTGAATTTTCGTTATAGTTAGCCGTTTTTGAGATATTTCGATTTTTAAGGTTCGATGCATTTTTAATTATTTATGGGAAAACAATATTTTTTTTTACATTTTCGATTTGGGCATTACAAGTAATTAAGATGATCGTTTAGATTGTGTTTTTAAACACAGCAATAATTCCTAACTCCAAATAAACACAAAAAAACAGAATATTAATTTTCCAATATTATTTTTAACAAATTAAATTATTTATTTACAACTAAAATGCTCATCCCACATATTTGCATGTTCAGCCTTTAAAAATTCCAAGAAGGTCGCAGCATTTAACCTTGCAGGCAAAAGGTAGGGTCCAAATAGTCGATTACCGTAGATACCAATCCACATGTTCACACTAAATTCATGCTGAAAATTTCTTTCCCGAACTTCATGCGGATTTTCATACGACCAAATATGTTGATTTTTATAAAACTTACAAAAAAAAAACAGGTAAAAGAAACTAAATTTCGTGCATTCACAATTGCAAAAAAACGTTTCAGGTTTCAACAGACAACCAAACTAACTGTCAACTAATTGACGTTTAACCTGATTCTGCTTTCAATTTCAAAAATATTTGCAGGCACAGCCTACTTCTAAAAATTATCGAGATACTGACTTTTTAACATTATTTTATCATAAATAATTAAAAATGCATCGAACCTTGAAAATCGAAATATCTCAAAAACGGCTAACTATAACGAAAACTCACAGGAGAGCTTTTTTATGTTGAAAAGTGCGAAGAATCAGCTATTTTATTCATAAAGCAAAAAATTGCACTAAGAAAAATTTTCGGTCATTTTAATGCACTACAGGTACAGTTGAGAGCGCCCTCTAGCGGCTACAGTAAAGCTATGCCCATGGTTCGTTTTGTCGTACAAAAAAAACCCTTGTATACCAATTTTCACTGTTATGCATCAAATATTGTTCGAATATTTAAAAAAACTATTTTAGAAAGTAAATTTAACACCCTGTATTTCGGAAGCCACGTATTTTTCGACCCATGTTTATATAGACTTTATGCATTAATTTAAAAGTTCTATCGAATCTTCAAGTTATGCAACAATAAACTGAAACACCCGTATAACAAATCTGCTCAATACAATGCTACAAGTGAAAGTATGTATTAATAATTACTACGAATATTGTGACGATGGTTTTGACGTGGTATACTTGACCAAGAATCCAAACAGATGACAGACAAAAACACTATCTGCTCCTTCTTAGGAAACAACAGGTAGTGGCACTAGAGTCGAATAATAAAATATACTGATTTTCTGGGCATTTAAAGAATGTTTTTTACCTTGCCAATGTCATGCTTCTGATATCTTTCGGTGACAGGAATATCTCAAATTCCCTTTCTAACGTTTGCTTGATTTCCACACTTGTCATTGAATCCATACCCAGATCCGGTAGAGTTGAGTGGAGACTCACAGATTTTGCATCGGTGACACCTTGAAAGGATATTTTTTATTATAATACCAAACTACTGAGAAAAGATATGTCAAATTGCAAATCCAACATTTTTTGCTGTATAGTTCATAGACAATTACCAAAATACGAGTAACACAACTTTTCATACGCCACTGTTAGTGCAGTGAGTCTCTGATCTACTCAAGGCACTCTGTTACAGTTACAAGACGGTAACATCAAAAAATACCACATCCACCGCGGTTAATCCAACTTTTTAAACTGCCTAAGGTTAGTGGGAAAAACCTTTTAGGCGGTTTGTGTCACAATCTTGATAGCCTATGCCTAGGGAAAAAGGAGCAGACGTGTATCACCTAGTTCTAGATGTACAGAGTTCGACACGGGAGGCTGAAGTTAAGCGGGTCTGTCTAGCAGAGTCATCGCGCGGCGACATTGTTGAGAAGAGCTCTGAGAAGCAGAGCCCTTTGGTGAGAAAGGGTCGCGAGACCGGCCTTTAGAAAAGAGTCGGCCAGCCCTATTTTGCACAGTATCGAGCATGGATAAGGCAGTCGAGACGGCAGCACTTCAATCATGAAAGCTATACTCAAGGCTGGGGCTTATCCAGAATAAGTAGCCTACCTGGAGAAAAGTACATCTCAGCCATAAATAAATAGCCTTGCTTTTTCCCACCAGCTGTCGCGGTTGACAAGATATGTTCATGCCAAATGAAGTCCTCCGATCAGCCGAAATGAACGGTTATTTGGTAAAAATCGGTCATCGAAACTGGATGACCGCTAGGGAGCTTCTTGTTAGTCAAGGTACAGTACTGATTTTGGAAGTATCAAACTGTACCAGTTGTTGCGTCCCCAGTGATAACCTGCAAGTATCTCGCCAGAAAGGAGGTCTTTCCTCCAGCTCACCAGCAGAGATCTTTTTGGCACTCTGAATTCCTGCATGTAGAGTACAATCATCAGCAAAGCTGAAGATAGGATCGATGGTACAGGAAATTACGTCTAGATTAACAATGTCGGAGTCAAGATTGATGCCAAGGAAACAGCCGCGTTGACATTGTGGAATGAACAGGAGAACCCGTGAATTACTTCTGATATCTTGCGACGATTTTCTAGGAGGCCGCACGATGGAAGTTTGTACGAAAGTGGAGCATGCCACAGCTGTCCGGAAGCTTTCGTGATATCAAGAGCAACGACATGAGCCTCACCATATGATGCATGAGCTTACTCCCAGTTTCGTGACGTAAGCTGGAACGTGCCCCGTAGATCATTGGTGCTGGAAACCGTGCTGTTAAGAATTGAACATTGAATACTCGTATAAACTCGATAAACCCGTAACGCTTAAAGATGCGGAGAATTTTAGTAGTGTAAAAATTTAGGGGACTTTTTTTTACCTTTTCGCTCCGATCTTTTTGTCCTCTACCATTATGTCTACAGGCTTTGCTCCTCATAGTTGAGCGGATCCGCCAGGTTTTTTGCCTCCCATCCCAACTCTGTCGAACTTCCCACATCGAGAACTGGCCGGTACGACCGCTCCTAGTTCCTAGAGTGTTGAACTTATGCGACAACCTACCTGAGGAGGGTTTCCCGAGTTCTGTTCAAAACATGAATTTTTTAAGTTCGTTATAGTAGTAGCGGTGGCCCGGTATTTACGTTTACGCCTACGCGTCTGCTTCAGTATGAAAAAATATCAAGTGTAAAAGTTGGAAGAGTAAAGTATCAAAATGTAAGTGAGCAGCAAAGTAACTGTATTTAATTTTCTCCAATACAATGGAGTCCACTAAAAAATGAGTGACACTTAACGCCCTTTCAGATATCACACAGATAAAGACTAACAAAAGCGCCTGAAACGCAAATTCTAGTTCCTGAACCATGCTTTTTAATATACCTACTTGTGCTTATTTTTGTAGAATTCCTTTAGACCGCCTTCACGAATTTAAAAATATTTGAGATATTCGCATCCCTGACAGCTATTCAAACAATACGATGAAATGCATCTCGCTTCATGGCCAACTTGGTTTTTGTTTTTGACGCGAAGTTATAAGTTATCACCTTCACGCGAGCTTTTTGGAACTAAATGAAAAACTTGAAACAGCTTAGAAAGTACGAGATAGCCTATGGTCAATAGGTCAAATCATAAAAATGTTAAATTGGCAAAACTAGTAATAAGCATTACTCAATAGAGACGTGATTTATTTTTTGTTCGTCACCGATTGAAACTGGGCACAAAAAACTTTACCTAATGATATTTGGTCAAAATATCACACCTAAAATGAATAATACTACATCTACAGCACTAGCAGCGTCTCCCACTCTCTTTTTCCGCTACAACTGTACTAGAAACAATTGGGGCTTCATCCTGACGTAGGAATATATTTAGGACGTCCATGCAGCTGGATATCCTCTGTTGCAAGGTACCTCCTATCTCTATTTCGTGCTGCTCTGTCTGCATTTCTGCCACTAGTCCTACCTAGAAAGACATAAAAAATGAGGCAATCTATTTCAAAAATGCGTATGCGTTGATAGACTCACTAAAATAGTAGTCAAAGGAAAGTGAAATTCAGCACTGAAATTCCTTTTAAATATCTTGATGAATGAAAAAGTTACGCTAACCAGAACTCTCCTTTTGCAGATCTATATTGTTGGAGCGTGAGTGATGACGTCAGATGACACCAGCTACCAGCGCTACTAAGGAGGTTATGAAATTTTTGATATTTAGCCATTATAGCTTTTTCAGGATGAAATTTGTTCTAGTATATTTATTTTCATTTAAGATGATTCTGTTAGCTTTTGTGTAATATTTTTAATTTTGAAAGTAGAATTTCGTTTGCAGTGAACAAAATAGTCCAACAATATAAAAAATGAGGAGAATGATAGTGTTCAACACTTTTATTTTGGAATAAAAACTTAGGCCATGGGAAACACTATTAAAGTAATTTACCTTTTTGGATATTTTATGAAACAATATATTCATAGTGCCCTTCAAATTTTAATCTACTATCTACGTATTGTATATAGAATTATGTAATTTTGAAAATATTTCTCTAAATCGGGTGTTTAATAAATAGATTTGAGAATGCGTAGCTGTGTTTAAATTTCGATTTGGATTAATGTTTTTTGATTGTAAATTTCTTAATTAATCACAAGTCAATAAGAATTGCATTCTTTCTGTTTCCAGAAGCGTACGAAAATGCCGGCATATTTCCCAAAGTACTTCGAATTCTATTATTTTCCAGTCAACGCATATAAATTATCAACAATTTTACATTAGTTCAATGTGAATGAAACAGATTTGGCAGTTTGGTATTCATAATCATCCAGTTATCACGTTTTGTCGTATTTCAACAAGTTTCGATTTTAAATATTGGATTTAAACCGATGTTACAGTTTATAATAAGTATGATCAAGGCCCCAAATATTTGTTATTTTAGACTGTTTCAGAATACTGATAATCCCCATGTTTATATGGGCGTAATCAAACCATATAAATATACTAAGTGACATATAAATCCGAACACCCAGCAGTTCAAATGGTTTTATTTTAATAAAATTTTGTATAAGTATTTAATGAAGCATAATAAGTAAATGATAAAAATTTCAAAATGATTGCACTGCTTTGAAGCCCTTTGACCTTTAATAATGTGTGGATGCACCCTGATGTGCTACGCATTCTCCAACGCGCCTAGGCATGCTTCTGATCAGGTGGTCAATGTCCTCCTGTGGTATCTCATTCCAGGCAACCACCAACTCCTCTCGAAGTGCTTCTAGAGTCTGAGGAGGACGTTGCAAATTGAGCAATCTCCTACCCATCATATCCCACACGTGCTCAATTGGGGATAATTCGAGAGATCTTGGTGGCCATGGTACAATGTGACATCATTATGTTGAAAGAAGTCTATTGTGACTCTTGCAACATGTGGTCGGGCATTATCTTGTTGGAAAGTTGGATCTGCCAGGGTGTCAAGATAGGGTAAAAGATGGGGTTCTAGAACTTCGTGGATATAACGCTGCGCGTTCATGTTACCTCTGATGAAGATTAAAGGTGACCTGGAACCATAAGCTATAGCACCCCAAACCATAACTCCAACAGTGTGATGAACATGTCTTTCAACAAAAAACTGTGGATTCCTCCTTTCACCACGTCGCCTTCTACCCTGGCACGACCATCATGCATGCCTAAACAAAATCGAGACTCGTCACTAAAGACAATACTGTTCCATTCCTGATCCCAGAGTGACCGTTGTCTGCACCACTCAAGGCGATTACGTCGGTGTTCTCGAGTTAAAGGGAGGACCCAGTGCCGGTATGAAAACAAGCCAAAACTTATC